TCCTCACCTAGCTTTCAGAAAGGTTGAGTGCTGTCGATCCCCGTCTTTGCTCTGTCAATAACGGATGTAGGACTTCAGGCTGAGGGAGTGGAGGGCCTTGGGAATGCCTGTGGGTATAGTGACTGTTCCTGTGAGATAGGGCTGTGACTGGTGGCACAGTTGGTATCATGAATTCTTTACTGTTGCTGTGATCAAGTATCATGAAAAAAGAAGTTTAGGGGAGAAAGGAATTGTGTTAGCTTGCAATCCCACATTACTGGTTATCGTCCTCGAGAGGTCAAGGCATCAGGGACTCGAATCGGCTGTCACATCTGCTACCCTCCACTCTTACACACTCCAGGAAGTGAAGACCAGGGAATGGCGAATCTACATCTAGAGTGGTCTTCCCACATTAGTTAACACAATCCAGAAAACCCAGGGCTCAAGAGGTGGCTCATTGGTTAAAATCACTTGCTAGTCTCACAAAGGCCCTGACCTCAGTTTCTACCACCCATGTGGACGCTCAGAAACATCTATAACTAGTTTCAGAGGACCCAACACCTTTTTTTTCTTTTGCCCTCCAAAGCCACCAGACATGTACCAGGTACACATACATACATGAGGACAAATACTCATATTAACAAAATAGAAATAAATCTTTAAAAAAAAGAAAGAACATCCCTCACAGACATGCCACAGGTCAGTGTCACCTAGAAAGTCCCTCAGCCAGACCTCTTCTCAGGTGATCTTGGGTTGTGTTGAGTCACAGCAAAAGTTGACCATCACAGTTAGTGTTGGCATCTTTGTGGCAAAATCTCAGCTGGGGTATAACTCTTCCTCGGTAAAAATCAGATTTCTTGTTCTTTGTCGCTCAGAGCAACTAGGTATGACCTGTAAAAAAAAATCCAAGGAAAGGAACAGGATAATAACTTAAAGGTAAGCTGGCTACAAACAGCAGTTGACAAAGAGAATTCCATTCCTCGTGATGTGGGGGAGGGGAGGGGGTGCTGGGTGCTGTCTCTGCAGGCAGCCTCTTACAATTGAAGAAGCCTTCAAGAAGGGATCATTCATTCCCAGTCTGTGGTTCAGAGCACTCAGCAGATGACCGAAGCAGAGATGAGAGTGGAGGCTTTTACCTCACAAACTAACTTGAGTCCTGTCATGGGTGTTTAGCAGCAGCTCTGCCACTTAGTATTGGACGTTAAGAAGGAAAATTCAGTGTCGGGATTGATATTTGTCTCGCCAGAACAGACCAGTCCTAACAAGAGTATTAGTGTATCCAGTCACTGAGGTGCCATGGGTTAATCCATTAATTGTAACAGTTTCATAAAATAACTCATCCAAAGGTAAGAAGAATAAAGCCATCAATGAAAAAAATCAAATCAGAATAAGAGAGAGAGAGAGAGTAGCTCAGTCACACCATCCAAAGGAAAGACAACTATTTTAAATGGAGGCACCAGTAGAACACACTTAATTAAATACTGTTGATTTTCTGTGGTTGTACCCCAAGAGGGATGTCTACACACTCTCTTGTGCATTCCCTGAGTTGAGAATCTAGGGATGTAAGTGGACGAGGTCTGCTGTGGGCTTGCCAGTGTTGCATGGCAATAGAGAAGTCAGTTAAAACATGAAACAGGGTCACGTGGGTTCTTTTCCTCATGTCGTGGTCTGATCTGGAAGAGACATGAATTAGCAAGCTCACAGCAACAGGGGTGTGCAGGGGCTGGCAAATCTTCCTGGGGCTGTGTGCAACTTTGCTTCCTGGAATGACCTGGCAACATACCGCTGAAAGCCTAGATGGTTCTCATTTCCTTCGTTCAGAAAGTCTTACAGGAATGTATTTAAGAGTAATCCCAGAGATTTAACAACTAGGAAATTTGTTTTACCATTGCCCAGAACGCTGGGTTTTTTACAACAATCTAAATATTCAAAACTACAAAATTATTTTAGTCTATCATGCAAGAAATAGTGGACACCTATGCATATTTCTAAAAATAATCACAGGAAACAGTTGATGGCAACATAATATGAAAAGGCCACGCTCCACAGCAATAGTATCGGCTCATTCCTCCTTGGTTACTAACAGTTAACGCCTGTGAACTCATGGGCAGTGCTCCAGGATCTTTGTGCACGTACAGAGCTCAAAGGTGCAAGTCCAGACGCTGACAGTGGTTGCTTTTGTGTGGTGCAGGTATCAATGAATTGGGTGTTTTCTTATTTGTAGTAGCTTCATTTTCTAAACCGAACCATTTAAAACGTATTTTAATGCCCTAGAATGAGCGGAAGGGCTAAGATGGTTGGTCAGGGAGGGGAGTGAAGGGAGGGCAAGCCGGGGATACAGGAAGAGACTAGAAGAGCCTTGACTGCTAAGCTGAGTAGGACATTTTCTACCACGCGGTGTGTTTTACTGGTGCTATGGAAAGCTGGTAAATCACAGTTACCTAAAGTGTCAATAGGCTCACTTTATACTCAAATTTGGGACAGTTTAATTCTCTGCCAGCTCAATAAGCTCCAGCAGGAATCGAGTCCCCTCTGGGCAGGTGAGGACCGTGCCGACACCGTTGACTCTGCTCACAAGGCAGGGCCAACATACCTGTCACCATCTTTTGTGAGTGCCCAGTGACTCACAGCTGTTGATCTGCGTGGGAACAGCTGATGGCCTCGCGCTGTTATTTTAACATTTGCTGCTGTGATAATTTAAAATCTTCTTTATATCCTACCTATAATGCTGCAACAAGGTCACCCAAGAGCTCATCAAGTGGAGAGCTGCAAAACACTCAAAACATTCGGGGCTTGGGAACAGAACTCGGGCGTGCTAAATCTCTAGCAGTAAGGCCAAATAGGCTGCCCGATGCTCTGCACTTTTAACTGAGGGAGAGCATTTCAGAATATTAGCAGAAATGCAGGGGAAAATGAAAAATCAGCCTCAGAGCAAATGCGTGTTTTCATGTGCAGACCTATGCGCTCTCGGGTTGGACCCCTCCCGCCCACACTTTACATTCAGTTCCGGGGGGGCGCGCTTGAGTTATGCAAGTTTTGAGTTATACAAGATGGCTTTAACCGGGAACACATTCTCTGTAAAATGCAAACCATCCATCCGGTGAGCACGGGATAAGGTAAGGGGGGAGCGGTTGAGCGTGGCGGCAGATGAACGGCAGAGAGCCAGTTGGGATGAAGGTGTTAGGAGGACGAGGTTTGGGAAGCCTCCTCAGGTTTCTCCTCAGTGCAGAGGATGAGTTGGAAGCCGGAGTGGGTGGGGCCTGGGAGGTGACTGGAAAGAGACAAGGGAGACTAAAACTAATAAAGGAGTCAGTACCAGGCTGTGCAGGAGACATGCTTATGAGTCTTACACTAACAAAGGCGCCGTTTCTTCTTGATAGGAACAGAAAACACCCAAAAACTCCCGAGAGGCACTCGGGGGAGGGTTTTATTATTAATGCATCAATTTGGGCTTCTCGCCTTCAATCACTGCTACATTAAATTTTAACTATAATTATAAAATATAATTTAGTTTTGATTATAAAAGTCGTGCATGCTTTAAACCAGGCATGGGGTGGTACAATGCCTTTAAGCCCAGCACTCAGGAGGCCGAGGCAAGGCTAGTTTGGTAAGCATAGCCGGTAAGGCCTACATAATGAGACCCTTACCCCAGGAAAATAAAAAAGAACCAAGAGTGTAATGCATGATCTAAAGAAACAGAAATAAACCCGGATGACGTGGAAGTGGGACCGAGGTATAGGTGGGGGTGGAATGCTTCCATGTGAGCAATACGTGCGGCTGTGGGTTCAAGTCTAGCGCTCTCCGTGTGTGGACACAGACGCGTATGAGCATGTGCACGGAGAGAGGGATTCAAGGAGGAGATGGCTGCTTCGTTGGTTTTCTTGATTTTTTTCAGATCTTTGTTTTAGATATTAATCCTCTGTTGGAGGTATAGCTGGGAAAGCCTTTTCTCTGCTTCTTGACTCCACCAAGGTTAGTTTCAGGGATCCTAGTTTTCAGTTGTTGACCTCATTTTCGGCACTCCTCAAGTCCTACTCAGAAAAGTCATTGTCGGTATGACATGCTGAAGGACAATTGCCACTCTGTAGTTTCAAAATATCTGCTACCTCTAAAAGTAGTTTTTGTGCAGGGAAACCGAACGAACCAGAAGAAAGGGAATCACGGCTACAACGTCCGACGCTACAGCAAGCTGTACCCTTGCCCGTCACACGGTTGATTATGTCTTGTGTTCCGCGCTGAGGTGACTACCCGTCTCCAGTCAGTTTCGTAAGGATGGAGCTGTGGTCTGCATTCCCATTGATTGTTTGCTTTTGCATGCGATGGTGGGTGGCCTGGCACCTTCCTTGCCCGTGTTATCTTTCAGCATCTGTTGAAGTCAGTTGACTGCAACTTAACTTTCCGAGCTTGCTGGTTCAATTAACCTGTCCTTCCTTTCCCTATCTTGATCAGAACTGCTTTATGTTAAATTAAAAATGTAGTGCAGTCTCTCAAAATTGACCTTTTTGACAATGCTCTCTGAGACGAAGATGAAAGACACTTCGTTTTTGACCTCTTTGTGGAAACTTTGGGACTGCTTTGTTGATATCCACTAAACTACAGCAATCTTGACAGATTACAATGAGTCTACTTACCCAGTCTGCTGTTTTGACAACATTGGTCTTCTTATCTGTGAGTGTGGGATGGCTTCCATTTAGTTCTTCTCTGATTTTTTGCATCAGTTTTCCAGCTTTCCTCAGATTTTGTTAGACTCATTTACTTTAAACGTGCTAGAATAAATGGCATTTTTTAATTGGCTGTTTTTCAAGACTAGGCATCTCTTTGTGTAATCCTGCTGTCCTGGAACTCGCTCTGTAGACCAGACTGCCCTTGACCTCAGAGATCCACCTGCCTCTGCCTCCTGAGTACTGGAATTGAAGACATGCACCATTACCACCTGGCAAATGTGTTTTTTTATGAAAATATATTGTTTTCAAAAAATATTCTGATCACAGTTTCCCCACCACCAACTCCTCCCAGATCCTCCCTACCTCCTTACCCCACCACCCTTCCAAATTAACACCCTTTCTTTCTCTCTCATAAGAAAACAAACAAGCATGGGGGTAAAGAAATAATACAGATTTGAGATCAAGTGGCCAAGAGCAAGACTATGATCTGTGAGTATATCAAATGTCATTAGGAGTCATCTTATTACTATGCTCCTTTAGCAGAACGATAATAGTAGTTTTCCCTTAGGCCCATGGCTTATCTAGTCTCAGGGTCTTGGTCATCCAAGCAGTATCAGATATTGGTCCCATCTCGTGGAGTGGTGCTTAAACACAATCAGGTTGTAGGTGGTCACTCCCACAATTTTGCGCCCACTATCATGCTAGCATATCCTGCAGACAGGTCACCATTGTAGGTCAAAGGATTTGCACCTGGATGAGTGTTTACCTTCATCCTCTGGAAGTGCACAGAGTTGCTTCCAGCGCCATGGCCGTTAGTCAGTAAGGCTGAAGGCTCTAGGTAGGCATCAGCTTGACTTCTCCATAGTCAATGAATTACGTGGGTGCTGTCTTTACCATCAGTTTGTGGAGAACAGCCAATGGCCTTGGCAATAGTTATGGGGGTTTCCATGGGGCTCTTTCGGCATTACAACTTAATTAAATGCAACTTACTCCCGGAACAAGAGGCTTCATTTGGTGGTGGCAATTGTCTGATTGGAGCTTTGTCTCCTCTGTTATTTAGTGATTCCATTCAGGCAAATTGTTTTAACTTCAGATTTTACTTGACCATTTCTCATATGCAAGAAAGCAATGAACACTAGATATTATAAACCTTCAGTATGTAAGGATGCCATTTGCTATAATGTCATTAGTTCTAGGCTTATTTTTTTTCCCCAGTTCACTTGGATTTCCTATACAAATAATCATGTCATCTCAGAAGTCCACTTTTATTTTTTATTTATTTTATAAATTGTCTACCTTTTTTTTTTTTGGTTTTTTGAGACACGGTTTCTCTGTGGCTTTGGAGGCTGTCCTCGAACTCGCTCTGTAGACCAGGCTGGCCTCGAACTCACAGAGATCCACCTGTCTCTCTCTCTCTCCCGAGTGCTGGGATTAAAGGTGTGTGCCACCAACGCCCAGTAACTGTCTACCTTTATTCCTCTTTTAAATCTTATTCAGCTAGGATTTCCAGACAGGTGTTAAAGAACCGTGATGAGAGGGAACGTCTTCCCTCATTCTCCATCTTAGCCGGGAAATATCCTGCTTCTCCCCATTAGGCAGTGTGCTAGCTGTTGAATTTTTGTAGATACTCTTTATGAAGAAGAGGGATTTTCTGCATTTACTAATATTTAAAATGTGATTAAGCACTTCATTTTGCCAGATGCTTTTTTCTATATGCATTGATATGATAATGTAATTTTTATAGAAGTGAAGGGTGTGTCAATACGGTTTCATCAGTTATAACAAATGTATCATCTCCAGTCTGTTGAGAGGATGGATTATAGTAATTGATTTTCAAATGGTGAACAAGCCTTTCAGATCTGGGGTAAATCCCATTTGATGGTAATACATAATTCCTTTTAGGCATTCTCAGATTGTCTTTGCTATTATTTTATTGGGAATTTTTGCATCTGGGCTTATGAAAAATATTGTTTTACAGTTTTCTTTTCTTATTATATCTTTATCTGAACTCAGATCGACTTGGGAAATATTCAGAAAATTGGACGATCTCAGATGTGACTTTTGAAAACTGAGTGCTGCAAAGAAGCTATGGGGAATCCCAGAGCCCGGGCAGGAATCACTTGACTAGACTATGCTTGGCACTGGTGTCAACTGTTATTCCTGCTTCCCTGCTCCTCACAACTGCCTGCCTCAGTTTCCAAACTGGTGCATCAGGCCCCCGGTGACCGCAAAGCTCCCAAGAGTCTGTGCGTGACCTGTTGCTCTGACAGGTCCTCTGCCTCGTGCGGATGCTGTCTGCCACACAAGCACGTCACACAGAAAATAAAGATTTGTGACAATGGGACAAACCCAGGGTATGCTCCCACCACCTAGACTAGCGATAGCTGTCCTGACTGGCCGGTCTCAGTCCACCTGCACCCCCGGTGGGCAGGGGCTTTGCCTATATTTTTATGCCTGTTGGCATAAAATTAGATTGCTCCTAACCTGTACTATCAGAAAGTGAGCTAGGATTAAATGCTTTGCAATCTTTCTTTTTGTCCTCAATTTATGCAGGAAATAAATAAAATAATTGTAGTAATAAACAGATCTAGGTAGCTGACCCATGTTAAAAAATATCCCTTTTCTATTGTAACTACTGAATGCAAAGAAATATTAAAGAAAGATACAGTTATGCATAGAAGAACAGTACACTTCAGGGCATTTTTGAAATGATTTATCTTACTATTTATTTATTTATTATTATTTAAGTGAGTATATGTACACACGTGTGTGTGTGTGTGTGTGTGTGTGTGTGTGTGTGTGTGTATCTGTATGGGTGCAAGTCAGGCAGCACCTCAGGGCTTCCCTGATCATAGCAGGACAGGAGGATGTCACCCTGCATTTGCCAGTCATTGGTAAAAGTGTCACTAGCGGAATTTTAGGCACTTCAGCTCACTCTGGGCTTGTGAGCAATGTGGCTCCAGGAGCAGCGTCTCTCTCCAGGAGAGGCCTTCCGGCGCTGGAAGGGTGGACTGAAATCTTAAGGACTTATTCTAGACTGGGCTGAGATGCTCGGGAACTGTGGTATGGCCAGTTCCCATGGCCTTGGGGACAATTTGGAGGTGAATCATAAAAAACGAAATTGATTCTAAGGCAACAGCATTCGGCATCTACAAGAAATAGGACTCAACCGTCACGATTGAATCAATTAGGGTTTTCTCAGCCATTGAGCTCTGTTTCCTGTTAAGATCTCAGCAACTATTATAGCTTGTTGGTCATCTGACTGTTTTGAAGGCATTGTTAGGTGTTAGGTGTGTGAAGGCGTATAGAACCCAAATCCACAGGCAAGCTCAGAGGATATCTGCGCCCCTGTCTGTACCCACTGTTTGCCATGACTCTGCTCAACCCAGCACCCTAGGCAGATGCTTCCCCGCACTCCTAGCTCCACCTACCCCATGTTGACACTTACTATATAACCCAGCTTGGTTGCAGACTCATGATCCTGCTGCCTCAGCTCGCTGGGTCCTTACTGGGTTCATGAGTGTGTACCAATATGGTTGATGTTGGAAGCTATTTCAAAGTCAGGTGAACGTCAGTAGTTTTCACACTCTTTCCATGCTCCAGGCTCCCCCATCATAACGAGACATAAGCAGTATCATCCCTGTCTCCATAAAACACCTAAAATTACAGATACTGAGGCCCAACAGCCATCCCCAGTGCCCTACCCACTACCATCAGCTGTCAGAAGGAGATACGTGGAGAGTAAGAGATTGAGGGTAAACGATGGAGATTTTTGGCACAACTTGGAGCAGGGAACAACTTAAAATGACGTGTAACTGTGTTATCCCAATTCGAAGAGCTTCAGTAGTGGGGGCTCTGGGACATTTCATGTCACCAGCTTTTACCCAGACGCTAGCTTGCAGCCCTATTGTGTTCATTCTCTCTCTCTTCTCCCCATCCCAGAGCCTGCTCCTTATCACATAAAACATGGTGTCCAGCGTAACTCCCAAGCCATGCCCTGAACTTTCTTTTGAACATTACTGCTGTTTCACTAAGGACAGTGTTGTCATCTACCCTCGACCATGCTTGGCAGGAGTTTGGGGATTCATTTTTTCTTGTGCTTCTGCAGGATCAATTTCTTCGACAGGGTTTATTGTACCCTATAATGTGTGGACCAGGAGTGATATGGGGGTGGAGTGGTTTTTGTTACAGATGGAGAAAAAATGAGATGATTTATCTCAGAAAAGAGAAAGCTAAAGGACAACTTAATAGTATTCAAGTAAAAATTTTATTAGTATCCTGAGAGATGAGAGGGTTGGCTCTGATCATTCCAAATTCATGAACAACTTTGAAATGCGCATGTTTGCACACATGTTCTTGCTAATCTTCTAATGCGTTTGTGTATACTTGCTTTTTGTACATAGACTGGAAAGGTCAAAGATGGATTGGTGCTAGATAATGTCTTTGATGAGTGAAGAACTTTATATAGACCTTTTCAAAGCCATGGTGTGGGTAATGAAAAGCTCACTGTCCACAAAGAGAGATTACATAAGTGTTCTTCAAGCCCAGGAAAAACAGAAGCGGGATAATGGAGAAGGGGAAGGGAGGAGTGGGGAGCAGAAGGCACAGGTAAGCTGCTCTATCACAGTACAAAACTTCTGAAATGGGGTCTCTGTCCCCTCGATGCAAGAGAACCACGTCAGAGAGCCCTTCCGCACCAGTTTGTGACTATCCCAGATCTCTCAGCTGAGACTCCGTGTCCAGAAGCTGCTAGCATAAACCAGACACACAGAGCACGCTTCAGCCAAGGACCGTGTTCATTGGAAGAGCCTCCACAGAGCGCTGAGAACTAAACAGAGACGAGTTACCGCGTGCTGGATCCCGTCTCTCACCAGCTCCCATATGTTGTTTTCCTGGCGACGGCGCACAGCGAACACACAACCAGACCAAGACGGAGAGAGAAGACCGTCTTGGTCGTCTTCTATTGCCTCAGTATCTGACTCCAGCGATTTATAAACAACTGGGATTCATTTGACTCATTGTTCTGGAGGTCGAGAAGTCCAAGCTTGGGCTGCGTATGTTGGCCCAGCATGTGGCGAGGCGTCTGCTCATCTCATAATGTGACGGAGAGGATGGCGCGGCCAGGAGGGAAGCTGCTAACTCAGATCTCTTCCTCACAACGTCTTGGAGCCTCTCTTTTATGGCCACACCAAATCCTAGTCTCATCCCAGTATCCTCTGACTTAGAGGATTTGGCTTCCAACACACTGATTCTAGGACAAGCCCAAACCACTTCGGACCATTGCTCTGCTGTCCCACGAAAAGTTGCACAGCATGGCTCCCTAGAACACTCTGGCTCCTCTACCACATGTGCCTGCCAGGGAAGGAAGAACCAGGCTAAATAGTTGGTGAACTCAACTGGGTCTAGCTGTAGTTTAGCTCAGCGTGGGCTGTGACTACTCATTCAATGCAGAAGCTTTTCTAGAGTTTGAAGAATGAAGGAGGAAAACAAGGCTGACTTTAGATGGAGCAAGACAAAGAGGTAGGCGTTTGAGAGGAAGAAAAGGAAAACGGGAGCCAGTGACTACCTTGAGATGCCTGTTGTCAAGGTCCTGGAGTTTGATAGATGGTTGACTGTCTGGATGCTTATGGTATTACTACAAACGGTTAATTATCTGTTGGGCCCCAGCCCCACGGGGTCTCTGTGAGTTGCTGGTCAGCTTACAAGTGCAACTTGTTTTCCAGTCCAAGTGCTTCCTGTTTTCTAGTCCTGGCTTACTGCCCCGGCCTTGACCCTCTGACATCAACATTCAGTGGGAAGAAAACACGCTGTCTTCTACCTGGGGTTTTTCTACTGTGCTGTAAACCTGTATATAAAGCTCCTCCCTCCTACAAGAGAGAGACCTCTTAACATTTATAATGAAGACACACACACACACACACACACACACACACACACATTCTCCTGGCAATAAAGGCAGAACATGCATTCTCTTAGTACAAACAAGTGGACGTCTGGTCTGTCTTTTCCTGATACCCTGGAGCTGCTTGTGGAGCTGGCACCGCAATTGGAGGTCCCAACAAGATCCAGAGAGACTTGGAAAGACTGGGAAAGATTGGTCAGAAAGATGACTCAGGAGAGGAGAGACTCCAAAAAGAAAAGAATTAAAAACAGGAACCTCAACTTCTAACAGTAAATTTGAATGGTCAAATCTCCAGGCTTTGCTTGAGAGATCACCTTCTAAGGTGAAGGTGTATTGGATTAAATCTCCAGGCCTTTGCCTGACACCAAGGTCAGGAAAGAAAGGGGAACCTGAGAGATCATCCTCAGTTGGAGGATGGATTAAAAGTGGGTGAATTGAATGTTGGTAACAGTTAGTAAACGAGGTACTGATATTAAGTAAAAGAAAAGGAAAAGCTAGAAGTATATGCAATGGAAAATACACAGAGAGTCTGGATACTGTGTACAGTTGTGTTGTCTTTAAATTGTTTAATTGCTAAGAAAGGAACAAAAACTGCTAAAAGACATTTGATTATTAATGCTGCTAAATTAATCCAACTTATATATTTTGAAAATGCTTTGACTTCTAAATTTAAATATAAGGACAGATTACTTGGGCAAAGAATTTCTGCTTTTGTTTCCACAGAACATAAAAAGCTGTGGGTTTCTTCCAGACTAGTATGGTTTGATGAAGCAAGACCACCTGAAGCAGTGGCCCAGGTGATCCAACATCTAAAACAGCTGAGATGATGCAGCCTTACAGACCACAAAAACAAGAACTTCAACAGGTTTCTGTTTTTTTTTTGTCATGATCCCCTTAACAGCAGGAAGTAGTTTGGAACGAACAATGCCCACATTCCCAAATATTGTTTATAAATGTTTGTTTACATTTATACAGGGTTGGTTATTGATACTAAGATTGGCATTAATGTCTTAGTCACCTGAGATAGGCGCTAATTTATATATAAAGAAGGGGGGGGAGATGTTGGGCCCCAGACCCATGGGGTCTTGGTGAAAAGCTCCTCCCTCCTACAAGAGAGAGACCTCTTAGCACTTGCAATGAAGACAGACAGACAGACACACACACACACACACACACACTCTCTCTCTCTCTATCTATCTCTCTCTCTCCTGGCAATAAAGGCAACACATGCATTCTCTTAGTACAAACAAGTGGATGTCTGATCTTTCTTTTCCTGATACCCTGGAGTTGCTTGTGGTGCTGGCACCGCAATTATCCAAATGAGTAAAAGCAGATTACTCATGGCCCAATGATGCAAGGGTGTTTTGAATCAAGCACAATCAATTCAATGTTTCCAAGAGCAAAAAAGAATAAAAGAAGAGGCTCACTGCCTACCGTGGCACCACTGAGTATCCTGCTCAGGTTTTAAAACTTCAAAACATTGAGAGGAATTTGGGAGGTAAGGATGTGTGTGGGCTGTAGGAAGTGGTTTTCACAATGAATCTGTGTGGATAATGCGATCTCACATGACCCTTTCAAGGAACCCAGGATTTGGATTGATGCCCTCAGCATAGACAAAAGTGAAAGT